CATTATACCCTCTCTACTTCCTAACATAGACAATGAAACTAATTATTACAAAAAGCTGAGACTGACCTAGCATTCTTCAACTTCAACCAGCCGCCCGCGAACCCATTTCTTCTTCGTCGATTTGATTTGTTTTTCCGGTCCTTCAAGTTTCTCTGATTTACATTCCTCGGCCAATTTGATTTGTCTATTCCGCCCTTCAAGATTCTCTGATGTACAGTCCAGTCTGGAACTTCCATTAAGGTTTTCTTCGACAGCGTCAAGATCCTTGGACGGTAGTGATATGTGGCCATTAGAACTCGTCAAGTGGAAGAGATTTTCACCAGTTTCGACTGAATCATTTGGACTCAACTTTTCGAAATTGCTCTCGACTCCGTTCACTTTTACATGTTTGAATAATAAAGGTTCTTGAACATTTGGGTCTGCCACGTGTTTTAGAGTAGGTACTCGGGCGGTTGAATTTTCAGAAAGATTATTGCCGTTTTCAAACAGGACGGTTTCTTGGGCTTCGATGGACTTTATTATCTGCTGAGCTTCGGATATTAGCATCCTGCTTTCGATTACTGATGCCTCAGCATAAGGGTTTGTCTTGGCAGCTGTTTCAAGTGCTTGGACAGCTTTCTCAGCTTCAGCAATCAACAGCCTGCAATTTAAGCCATATATTGCCTAAATCTCCAGATATCCGCTGAATTTATCCTTATCATAGAATACTTCATTGACATTCCAAAATTACTAGGTTGGGTATTTGATATTTATCTTTGTCTAAAATGATGACACACCTAAAGAGGCTATCTGTTGTACAATAGAGTATTGTAATTTCAGAAGATAAACCGTTCTCTTTTGGGATTTAGACTGAACCTCAGGGCTAGTCCTTCAAACTAACTTTAGTGCTACTTAAAAAATAGAATGAAAAATCGCAATGCACGAAATTTACCTTGCCCTAGTGATGGCTACACTTTGTTTGTCCACAGAAGCAGCCCGCTGAGCCCTGATGTTTTTCAACATCTCCAGCTTGGAACTTGCAAATGGATCTTTGTACAGAGGTGCTTTGCTTCTCTTTGATCTCTTTTGTTCAGCTGGGCTCTTAGTCTCATGTTTTTTAAGAACACTTATCCCGTCCTTCTTTGGGCTTCTCTTTCGAGGCAGCCCATCAGCACTCGACTTTATCCTTGGCCTCCTTTCAATCCCTTCTAAAGTTCCATAGTATTTGGCTCGACTGCTGCGCATGCGATTACGGAATTGCTAGCCATTTGAAAAGGGAAGAGAAAAATTAAGGTTAGCATACTAGGATACGAAGTGAAATATTTGCATTCATCATACCTGTCAAATTTACTACATCATTTACAACATGCATCCTTTTAGAATAGCTAGATTGCAGTACAGTTATATATTAAGGTCATCAACTAAAACACCAAAAGGGACTTATTCCATTTATTGCTTGATAGAGAATAGAGTTGCAGAAACCACCACCAGGATTGTAAGTCTTTTCTTAAAAAA